TAGTGCATGATGTACCCTGACGAGTCACGCCCCTCAGCATGCAATTGCAAAACCACGTTTGGGCTGAGCTTAGTTCTCGGCCATTCAGCATTCATCGGCTGCAGCACCTTTCTGTGGCGACAAAGGGAATTACGCGCCGGGCCCCAGAATGCTAACTGCATGTCGCCGTTGGCTGGGTGAGCTGGGTGCCCCGTCCTGCGTGAAGAGTTCCTCACTGCCCGGGACAGCAAGCTGACTCCTCCCAATCTGCGGGGATTGTCATAGACACTCATAGGCCCGCCCGCGCCAAAGAAAGTGTCCAATGTCAGTTGTCTAGTATTGCTGCACATTAGTCCGCGCAGAGCGCCGCACAACTTCAGGCCCAAAGCGAATCGGTAGGCGCATCTTTCAACGCCCATATGGCCCCTGCCATATGTGCTCTGCTTACACCTTTCAAGGTTTAGCTGCGCTTGTTTGCATAATTTCGCTCTTCAATGCAATATGTCGAGACCTGCAACTTGCCACGTCTTCCATTGCCAACAAGGAGGCTGCGCCCCTACTGGTTTAGAAAGCGCAGAAAGCGGCAAATCCCTGGCCTCTTCCCGGCCCCCCCCCCTTTACACCGCCCTTACACGAGGAACTTTAATTGCAGGAGAGCAAGCGGACCATCAATTCGATGCTTGAACAGAATCCGGGAACCCTCCAATCCTAACACCCCCCCCCCCCCACCCTTGACCCCAAGAAACCCCGAAAACACGCAGTCTTAGAAAGCATCTGGCTGCCTTCGGCCTGGTCTGCAAGACCCTGGCGGAGCTCGCCGGCCTACTTGAGAGCTTGGAGTACATCCGGGAAATATTCAGGCAGGTCCCTGACTGACGCTACCGCCACAGGTGTCCTACTACTGCTAGGACCTGATCACAAGATGACAACAGCTGGTGGTCACCCTGGACGTGCTGCACTTCCCGACTCCCCTTTGGCCAATTTTGTGAATACATCTCGCTTCCTGTCAACCCAGCCCTTATGATCGACCTCCCGAGAAGAGCCCTTCTTCTCCGAGTTGCCGGCTATTTGCTGTAGCTCCAGGGCTATCGTGGTGAGCTCGTGCAGCTGTCGATCCTGATGTGGGCATCGTGGTGGATGTTGCAAGGCAGACACTGCCGTAGCCATGCGCTGCAGACTGCTGGCTTCGCTGCTTTCGGCTTGACACTCGCAGAAACAGACCCGCTAGTGCACACACAAGAGAGGCACCGTGAACGCACTTTCCACGATGTTTCATATTTTTGGATGCCTCTCCCCAAAATACAGCATGTCTGCTTTCCCACAAACTCCAAGTACTATGTCTATGAATGTCTGCGTATTCGCATTTCGCAGGCTGCAAATACGGTCAATTACAGCATTTTCTTTTCCACAAGCTCCAGATACAGCGTTCTGAACGGCGTTCTGCCGATTCGCAAGCGTCAAATCCTTCAAACCCTTCCTTCCGTCCTTTCTTTCTGCCCCTCCCTCTAATACAGAAAGAATTTTGTTTTATCCTTAGTTGACTTGTTTTTTGCTTCCTTTTGATTCTTTAGATCCCTATCCAGTGGTCGCTTACGCATACGGATTCCGCGCAGGAATCACAAACGCTGGTGCCTTCTCGGCAAGGGAGACCTGGATGTTGCGAACGGCCTGGCTTTGCAAGTGGCCGGAAATCTGTTTTGCGCTACCTCTTTCGTCTCGACTTCTCAGGGTGTGCACAACCCACACACGCACCCCTTTGTGCTCCCCTCAAGCCTTCATTCCGCACATCCACAGCCTTTTAGATCCCCACGAAACGGCCAGCCGGGGCCTGCTGACAGGCGACCAGCCCCTGGGTGTGGGTGTTCCTTCGCAACGTCAAACATCGCAATGCTCTGGAGGAGAGCACTATCTGCAAGACCGACCAGTACTGCTGCCCCCCTGATGTCATCGCAGCAGCTCCCCCACCCTGCCCCCCCCCCCCACTGCCACCCTGCAGGCAGCTGCATATAGAGCTGCGGAGTCGTTTGCAAACATGCAAACACCCTTTTCAGAGACATCAGCAGCCAAGCGCTGGGCTCCAGGGAGGCTTCCAAAGTGTCCACCACAACTCGATGGCCTTTACATGCCAAAAGTCTTTTCTGTGGAGAGGCCTTGGGTGGTGGGCAGGGTGCTCCGTGTTCTCGGTTTCTTCGGTCGGATTGCCGTAGGGATTTGAAGCGTGCCGAGAGGTACGTCTTGGTTCAGAAGGTTCATGCTGATGACTGGTGGGAAGCAGGATGCCGATTCCCCTGCATCTTCTTAAAACTACGGCCCCCGGCGTTCTTCCAGAAGGCGCCGTCTCTCCACCTGAAGGCTGTCCCAAAAGATCCCGATACCATTAATTTCCCGTAAAGGTGCGTTAAGATTTGGGCGAGTATGATACTGTACTTCATTGGTTTATGATTCTGTTTCTGTTCTAGTTCTCATGGAGCACACCTTGTCTGTCTCTCATTGTGCTGAATGTCTGAAACCTGTCACTCAAAATTACGTCTAACTTGGTGAATAAAGTCTTCCACTAGGAGCCTTTAAACTGCAAAACTCGTTTCAAAGTTCTTCATGAAGACTTTTATTACACTCGATAACGAACAAATTTTCTGCAGAGAGCATTTCACTCTTCCTTGCTCAGTTTGCAAGGAGGACATTAAAGTTTAAGATAAAGACTCGGCAAAGTCCGGTGATGCCATCTTGTCCCACAAGTGGCCCTAACCTCAAGACAAAGCCCTACAGCGTAACTGATCCAGACCCAGAACCCTGCAAAAGGAGGGACCTCCGCCCCAAGCTGATCTCGGAGCTCACTGCCTCAGTTGGCCGACTTGGAGAACGACAACTTTCAAAAACGCTGGACTAGACAGGGACATAATGCAGAACAGCTCGTCGACCTTTTTCTCCGTTCCGCCAACAGTGTCGGGTGTAGGTGCGCGACTCCACGCTTAGGCAAGACAAGACGAGACATGCACAGCCTTTCCCTCTTAGCACTTGAGCGTTGAAACTGCCGCCTCATCCATCCGCCGCGCAAGTGCTGCAACATCCTGCTCAGGGCAGAAGCAGTTTGGTCGCAACTATGCTTTGACATGGGAGGTCTCGAGCGCCATTGGGCACATGCACAAACGCAGTAAAAATATTATAACGGCCCTATTAATGAGTGCTTCAAGGGCCGACATAAAGATATTACGTTAACGAACAAAAGCGTACTAAATAACGTGTGAACGCAGAGAACACACAAGCTTTACCGTATATTTTCGTATTACTAATGAAACTTCGTTTACAATCATATCCTTGTCCTTTGAAAGAGAGTGCGTAAAAAAGAGGCCTGCGGATATTCAAGGTAACCCCCCCCCCTCCCCCCCCCCCCCCCCCCCTCCCTACAAAGAAGGGGGGGGGGGGGGGCCCCCCCCCCCCCCATGCTCAATTCCACATTTCCTCTGCCATGTTTGGTAGGATTCCTATTGCTTTTTATTCGGAATCCTTCTAATTTCAAGAGGATTTCTATTAATGTAACAAGATTTCTATTTGCCTTCTTTTTTCGTAGCATTTCTAATCGGACTTCTACTAATTTTAATAGCAGTTCAATCAATTGTAATAGGAGTTGAACTTAATTCGACAAGGATTTCTATTATTTCAATACGAATCCCGTTAAACCTAATACAAATCTTATTAGAAGGGATAAAAATCTCATTCATATTATTAGAAATCTTTCAAAAGTAACAAAAACCCGATTAGAATCAAAAGAAGTCCTATTAAAACGTTAATTAAAATCAAGTGAAACCCTATTAAGAACACTGTTATTGACCAAGGGGGGGGGGGGGCCCCCCACCCCCCCCCCCCCCCCCCCCCCCCCCCACCCCCCCCTTGAACAAGAGGGGGGGGGATGGGGGGGGGGGGGGGGGGCCATTGAACAAGAGAGGGGGGGGGGGGGGGGGAGGGGGGGGGGGGGGCTGGCTTATGTTCCCGCAGGCCGCAGTGGCGCGCACTATCCCTTTGATGATAAATTAGGTTTGGAATACGGGTCTTTTATTCGGAGAATTAGTAGCTTAGCGCAAATTCTTACAGGAATCTTCTTAGGTTTACATTATACATCAGATACTGATTCAGCAATTTTTTCTCGTTTCTTTTCGGAGGTAGGTGCAAAGCCTGCCACCATTCAAGGCCTATGGGCCTATGGGTTGTCACTGCAAAAAACAACAGAGCGCTGAGCATGACACCCGCTACTCTAAAATGTTAGTTAACTGCCGAAAGGCATCCCAGATCTGCACTCTGCAACGGGAAGAACTCAGGGACTGTTGAAATTCAGTCAAGTAGACTCACGTTGAGATGCAAAACGCAGGTACACATCTTTTTTCCATATACTTCATGCCACCCACAGCACTTTCTTGCACGCTGCTGACGCTCAACAGGCTGCGTCAGGGCGGCACTCGGCGGGGTGGACTCTAACAACTCCCAATAGGCCTACGGAATCAACCCTGTGCCCGGCCAGGCTCTCCCGTACTTTTCATGTCTTTACAATGAATAGGTTGGTGAGAATTCCTCAGTTTTTGCTCAGCAGAAGGCCAAGTCTTGTGCAGGAGAGCACAGCGACGAAGCACACCATATGGACAACAGCAATCGCTCCAGCCAGCAGATGGATACAGCTTGCGCGCAGAGAACGGCTCAAACACCCTTTTTCCCGCTGACTTCCTGAAGGTGGGAACTTGCAATACCGGGTGTTTTGCAGAATGCACTTCAAATGCAGCCGAGTATAAGAAAGCTCTTGGACGTTCGCTGTGCCCGATTCTGCCAAGCGGAGCCCCTGCCAGAGTTAAAATCAAACCTGCGAGGACGCAGCCCAAATGATCTCTTGGCCCTAGCTTGTGTGCTGCACATAGAACGTTGAAGGTAAGTAGTCCAGTGCTCATACCTGCAAAGATTCTGCAATCCTTCACTTCAGACTTCAGATTTGCACTCCGCCCCCTGCAGTATGTCACAGACAAACGTGACCCGTCTTCTCAGTCGCCTTTGTGTTTCCTTTTTTCTCCTTTGGACTTCTCCTTATTTGCAAATGGGCTGCCGGAGCCGTGCTGCAACCATATTCGCGCTGATTCCATGCCCTGGACGTGACAGGGGCAACTCAGGTCCGATTCCTTGTCGTGCTTGTCGCCCTTCTTATCCTTCTTGGACTTCAAGGGGGACTCCTCAAGCCGACCCGAAACTTTATTTAGCGAGCTATTAGCAGGTAACACATCGGTCGAAGCAAGAGGTCGTTGCGCAACAGAGAGTGATTGAACAGTATCCGGGTTGGTCAGATAGACCCCGATATGCAGTGGGTGCAGAAGTGGGACAACGGCATAGCAACTTCTGATAGGCAGTGGTCCGTGGTTTCGGCTCATGGCTTGCTTCTCCAGACCACTCTTCAAATCCACTTCGCCATGTTTGTGACTACTATTTCCTGGTGCGGGTCGCCCTTTCGGAAAGTGATCTACAAGTATGATCACTCTTGCAGATCACTCATATCACTATCCTGGCTGCTGCTCAGGCATGAGGGCATGAGGTTGGGGTGTTTTAGGCTCCGGAATGTGGCTCCTGGATCTAATCTAATCCTCATGCTGCTGGTTTTACAACTTTCCCACAGCTGCATTTCCCGACATTGTTTTTTTGGGGGGAGGGGGGGGGGCGGGGGGGCGGGGGGGGGGGGGGGGGGGGGGGGGGGGGAAGCAACAACATCTGATCTGTTCTGATCTGTGAAAAAGCGGCCGACGCACTTCCAAGTTTGAAACGTTTGCGGTCAAAATGGTGCTCATTCCTGTGCATGCACTTGCATAAGCAGGTGTGGTGTTGTCATTCTGTGCTGTAGTGATCTACATGTCGCAGACCACCACGTGTCAGCCCGATTGTGACTGGTTGCCCCCAACCCTGCAACCCTGCAAAAAGCCCGCAAACTCTCCCCCAAGCTTTGAAGCATCCTCGGACGTCTCCTTGCCACGGGAGTCCTTGGGGATGTTCAAGGCTTATTCGATCAACCATATCTACGCTGATGCAACGCTAGATGTAATCTTCTGGAGTTTTTGTTGCATCTGAAAACATCTGCACAGCTACATTGCCAAGATGCAGCAGACGCCGCCTCTTGAGCGCCCATTTCGCCGCCTGGAAACCCATCTCTGATCAAAAGGCATTGCAAGCCACGGCACGTGACCAATGCTACTTGCGCGCAACAACATGGGCTGGCATGCTCGAGTTTCAGGGGTGCAGGGAAGCTATGAGGTGGTCGTCGCCATGCACGCTGCCTCGGTGAAAGTCTGTTTTGCATGTGGGGGGGGGGGGTGGGGGTGATGATGTCCGCAGATTTCGTTCGTACCTACCGCCATTCAACATGGATTTCCCAATCGGGCCTTTCTCCTCGTTCTCCTTCTCGCCGGAGCCGGATGAGCTCGATGAGGAGGACCCCGAGGAGGACGAGGATGAAGAAGAAGACTTCCTAAGCGGCTCCCAAACAGGCATGAGCAAGAATGGCCCCAATCCTGCCGATCGGCCACCGGTTGCAATCGAAAGGGCTTCAGGCAACCAAGGCAGCCAGTACATCTCTCTAGATCACCCAGAAACTCCTTATTTTGTACCCGCTTCAATGCCCGGGGTCTTCTTCTTTTTCTTCTTTTTGTCCTGCCGCAGTCGCAGGTGCTTCGCATCATGCGCGCACAGCCGTGCACGACCTCCCTGCTGGAGCAAAATTTATCTGCGACGTGGCCCCATTCATCCCCATTATTGCACCATTATGTCCCATTCGTTTCCTGCTGCACAGTTCGAGCGGGACGTTCAGCCATCAGCAACTCCCACTCCAAAGCTTTGGGTCAAGACCAGTCACGCTAGTCCGCCTTCTTCTTGTCCTTCTTCCCTTTCTTCTCCTTCTTTTTCTTTTCCTTCTTCTTCTTCTTCTCCTTCTTCTTTCCATGCTTCTCTTCCTGCGACTCTGGGGCTCGCGAGCGGCTCGGAAACGCTGGTCTCAGTCTCGCCTTCTTGAACTCCTTGTTCTGCCGCTCCGCCGCAGCGACAGCGTATTTGTCCAGCTGACTGTTCCTCAGTCTCCAAATGTCTCCAGGCTTTCCCAACTTCCATGGGTTCATCATAGATTCCATGGACTATCACTCCCGGCTTCCCTTCTAGACGCAGATCTTCTTGGGACGAGGCTGCGTGGGGCAACACATGAGGGCTGAGATCCCGACACGAACTTTTCCAGCATCTTCTCCATGGTGCGGCCCTTAGAAAACTGATCCGTGGGGCCGTTCGGTTTCCCAACGCTGCGAAGCTGCAGTGGCTGACGTTAGCAGGCTTCTGGCCGGAATGTAAGCTCCAGCAGTTACGATGGCAGCCTGCAACATCTACCCTAAACCCTAAACTTTACCGAAACCTAGTCTAACACCAAGGGCCAAACTGCGTCGGGCACCAAAGGAACCCGGGCGCCGCCAGCACCCATGGCCTGCCAAGATCACGCGCTGCGAGGCGAAGCACTTAGGGTTCAGGGTTTAGGGGTACTTTATTGGGGTCCTTATTAGAAGGGGATCCTCCTATCCCACCTGCCCGGGCTGAATGCCTTGGGATCGAAGTTCCAGGTTGGGACTTCGGAGTTTGTCAGCCACGAACCGGGAGATTTTGGGGATTTACGGCTTATGTTGGCCTCCGCGTGGTTGTGCAGACTGTGCAACATCATGACTACCGTGGGCTCCAGGTCGACACCTCTAAGAACAACTCGCTTGAACTCGGACCCTCAACACCACCGGGCCACTGATCTGAAGCCTGAGGCTCCTTATGTTAACTGTCAACCCCAAACACAAAATGAAACGTGGTGCCTCGCCCAATGCTTGCGCTTTCTGGGCGGCAGCCTAGCAGAAGAGCCAGCAACTCAGGCAACTCAACAAGAGCCGTGTGTTTTGGCACAAGCAGAAAACGAGCCAAAAAGGTCGTGAACGACCGAAACCGGACGCAGCCAGTTGATTTTGGTGCGGTATTCATGCTTGGGGCATGAACCTGAAACAAAAAGCGCACGGCAAGGATGTTCCCAAGGGTCCATCTAAGCTTAAGGTTTGGGGTGCGGGGCACCCTCAAGCTGCTGCACCTGGGCGTTGCTTTGCATGGACTTTGCCATTGCCGCTGAGCCTCCGGACCTTCCGTGCCAGGGCCAAAGAGCCATGAATTCATGAAATCCCACAATTCAGGGGCCCCGGCGCCAGGCCCATGGTCTCAAATCGGCTTCTGTAATCGTCCTCGGAGACAAAGCGAAGAACGCCCTTCTTGCGAGCTTGGTCGGTTTCATGCCCCGGGCAGTGAGATGCACATGCAAGGCTCCGGCAGGTCCTCAACCCTGTTTTTCTTAGGTTTAGGGTTTAGGGATGCCATAACCTGAACATCCACAACCACAGAAGCCCGCTGCACTAGGCCGAAGCTCCATGTTGTTCGCCTTCGTGCCGATCATGCGCTTTGGCCTTGGCTTAACGGACGTGAAGCAAAAGAGTCGAGAAATACCCTACGAGTTTACTGGATCTAAGGCAAAAACTTGATACATCTTGCTATCCGGGACGATCCAAAAACTCAAGCTCGGAACTTGAAGCAACATACAAGTTCATTGCTGAAAACCTCCGCCTATAGTGCCACGCTAAGCCGGAATACCGTGCCGGCACGAGCTACAAAAACACCCCGTGCTTGAGACCCCAGCATGCCGCCAGATTCGAAGCCAACCGTGTTCATCCTGGCTGGGCAGAGGTATCTTCAGTACCCCTGCCATTCGTGGAGCCTGTCTTGCAACAGCATGCAACAGCATGGGCTATGCATGAGGGTCTTGAGACAGGGCTTGAAGCTAGCACGGCTCAGACTTGCTTGACGAATCTGACCTTAGCCCTTTGTACCATCCCCAGCATGGTCTACCCTGATGTGCCAAAGAAGTGAGAGACAGCACCATGCCATCTTGCCTGATTCCGACAGGTGCTTCTTGCCCTTTGGGCTCAATGCTTGAAAGTGGGCTTGCCACTGCGCCGTGTGTCCCAGGCATATCCCTTCAGCGTGGAATCCTAGCAGTCCTAGCAGTATCAGATGCAGAAAGCACTGCAAGTTGCACTGTGGGGGGGGGGGGGGGGGGGGGTCTTCGACGTGACGCTTAAACAACAATGCACCCAATGCCGTCCTGGCTTCCAACTTCGCCGTTCGGTACTCGAGAATATTCCTTGCTGAGTTGGCCACGGCTTGGGAGTGCAGCGTGTTTGGCCGAATCTGCAACCAAGCCTAAAGATCTACCATTTAGGCGTGCCCGAACCGAGCCCCAGTCCTGAAACATACCTTTAGGACACCCTGAGACATCCTAACCCTGAGGCCCTAAACCCTAAACCCGTTACAGACTCCTAAACTCCCACCTGACCCTGAGGCCCGAAACCCATAACCCGTTCAAGACTCCTAAACTCCCAAACTCCCAGGTAAGCTTCATCTTCGGTGCCATAGCTGGATCTCCAGGCCGTGCACGATGCACGGCTCAACAAAGGGGTCCAGGGCTTGACCGCAGTCTCACAATAAACGGTTTCTGGCGGTTCAGGGTTTAGGGTTTAGGGATTTTGGCACCTGCATAGCTGGACGAACCACTCCACAGGGATTCGGGTTTTTGGGGTTTAGGGTTCCAAGGTCGCCAGCTTTGCCAGAGTCCTCCTTGCGGGACTTGTGGCTTTTGCGGTGGGGATGGGCTGGGAGTGGGGCTTGGGGCGTGCTCTCTGGCATTGCGCAGTATGCAAAAACGGATTACGGACTTCATGGGGCATAAGCACCCTTGGCTGGGTAAGTTGTTGAGGCATCTTCTTTCTTTTGGCCTGCCTGATCCCAAACACGCTCACAGCTTCATGGGACTCGGCTACGCCGCCCTGCAGCTAAGGTAGGTGAGCTTGAGCCAATCGGCACAGCTGCGCCACAACCAAAAACGAGGCCGACTGGACGGCTAGGAGACCCCAGTTAAAGTGATGCTTGGCTTTTGTTCTTGTGAGGTTACTTCTGGTGATATGATCTGTTTGTTTTACTCGTGCAGTTTGAACATAATGAAAATTAGCCTCGTGAGAAGGGCGTGGGACAATGAGTTAGGGTTTAAGCTGGAAGGCAATTGCAAGTCGTGAAACAGGAATAATGTAGACTCAAGTACAGCCACGGGCTGCAAGAATGCAATGAAATCAGTCGGTGTTTTGACATGTTTGTTTTTGGGTGGCTATTTGGCGGTTTTCTTCGTCATAGTATAAAGTCAAAACCCATCCCCCCTCCCCAAACAGCACTTAACAGCACTGCCCCGATCTTTGCTTCCCTTCCGTCTTGTGGATCTGGCGCCATGCGCTGGGCTTGAAATTGTCCTGCAAACCCAGCAGTTCGCTGAGCATCCGGGGGTCGTGGCCTTATTTGGCAGGAGCGCCCGCTGAGGGTTCACAGGTGTTCACACGGTTCACAGTTCGGCCTGAAGACTCAAGGTCGCAGTGTATAAAATCAGGCTTATGTAGCTGCATACAGCCAAGCGACTCAAGATGTTGAAGGGAACCCGCCGTTCCTTGAGGAGAACCTCTGGTAGGGTGGCGTGGACCATGTCCCAAGCCGTCTTATAAAAGGTCAGCCCGTCACAACATGCAGCGTACACAAAATCCTGGAAGTTCAGCCTCTTGGGGATCTTGATTAAAGGTTGCTTCTCCGGGGTCCAGCATGACTTGTTGCCTCCCACTCCAAGAGATTCGTGGCAGCACATCCCCCACTGCAGCAACCATTTCTGCCACTCGTCTCCAGGTGAGGACACCAAATGTGGCCAGCAATTATGCACCCGCTTTGGAAGCCAGCGTTCCAGATTGCAGGTGTTGTGAATAAACCAAAGGTTCGGATATGCCTCCTGAAGAGCACGGAGAATGTCTTTGTACTCGTCCAAACGGTCTTGTAGCGCATCATAGTGGATGTTTTCGCAAGTCTCTCCTCCGTGACCGATTTTATCTGAGCAGAAGTGGATGCCTGCTCGGACAACGTCGAAGGCGTCCGCCACCACATCAAAGCGATCAAGCTTGCCAAAGGGGGCCCTCCCACGGCTCAGCTCAGCACGCACATGATCGCGGATTTCCAGGCCTTCGATGTAATTCTTCGCGACGCGGAGGTTGTGTCCATCCGAGTAGAAGTGTGCAATGGAGGTGGTGCCACAACCACTGGGGCCGGCCTGCAGCACTCGAGGCCGTGCGCTGCGAGCTCCTTTTGTCAGTGCGAAGCTGTTCTTTAAGGTCAGCAAAAGGGCTTCTTCCATTTCTCCGCTCAAGAGTCCACAGGCCGTGCCCCCGGCTTCCGGTGCACACTTCAGCAGTCCGGATGTACAGACATGCTTGCAAGCCGTGCCAGTGAACCATCGCGGCAGGACGCTGAAAGGCCGCATGGTGAAAAGAAGGATGCCACCTGAGAGGTGCGGGTCCACCGGAGTGGAGTTGCTTCTTGGCTTTCTTGCCTCCTGCCTCGCTTGTGCTTTCACTTCTTCCGGCCACCAGCCCTCGGAGGACACGAAACCGTGGCCCGCCGTGAGCAGAAGATCCAGCTTGGAATGCACCTCGAAGCGGTTGACCACATCATCTGATGCCATGAATGGGTTTTCGTAGGCGAGACGGAGACAGTCCTGCACTTTCAGCTTTCAAGGCTAGCTGCTGATTCGCGGGAACCTACACTCAGTTGCACAAGTACTGTACCATTTAACGATGTTTAAAGAGTGCACCGCTGTGTTCTCAATGGCTTTCTAGTCGAGACATGCTGAACTCCTTCAGCAGCACCAGCGCGGGCACGGATGGCCTCAACAGTCGGAGGCCAATGTCAATGAAGGGTGCCTGCAGCTCTTTACGCTCCTGGGTGTTTCCGGCACCTGTGAGAACAAGCGTATCAGTGATGAACATGAGGTGCCGCGCCGCGGAAGCAGCAGTAAGCAGCTCGTTAGCCTTGTCCCCCAAGCCAGGGAAGGGGATCGTCGGCAAGCTGAGCAAGGCCACAGGGGTGCCGCGGCGCAGCACAAAGTAGGCCAAAGCCAGGGCATCTAAACCCGACGATGCACCTTCCAGTGACCACAGGCAGTGGAGAAGAAGCCCACTGTATCCGAACCAAGCCATCTGCTTACAGCTGCCTTCCGGAATCTTGGAACCTTGCTCCATCACAAGCAGGACTTGGTGCTCGGAGTATGGGAGCCTTCGTGCTGTCAGCGCGATCCGCAGGCGGCTGAGCCAAGTGGAGAGCTCCAAGACAGTGATCTGGCAGGGAACTGTGGTAATCCACACAGCACCCAGCGGATAATCCTCAGACTCGCGCTTGTCCCACATGGCCGTCAGCAAGGGCGCATGATCGAAAACTTCTGCTTGTGTTGCATCTCGCGCGGTGATGATGAAGCTATGCTTCCGTTGTTCTGCGAGCAATGCCAGGAGGCCCCAAAGTGGCCAAGCATTGTGAAGAAGCGTCGGTATGTCCGGTTGCAATGTCCACTGCAGAAGTTGCTCGGAATCTGTTTCCAGCGAGACCACCTGAGGCATGGCATGCCATGGCCGAAACAGAACCCGGGACAGATTGTAAGTACTTGCTCTGAAACTTCTTGGCTCCACAGTTGAGTGCAAAAACTAGGCCTCTTCCTGCTTCTGCTCCGCATCATGGCCCAGGCACCGAACAAGCTTGAGAGCCATAACCCCGAAGGGGCATGCCTCTCGAGCTGTCTGCTGGATAAGGCTACCTGTGAGCGGAACAAAGACAGATGCAACACGCCTACGTACCATCGCAGCGGGAGAGGGAGAGGGAGAGGGCGAGGGAGAGGGAGGGGGAGAGAGAGAGAGAGGGAGAGAGAGGGTGCTAGAAGACGGACAAACGGACAGAAGGCCGAAGGCACGAGCAAAGTGCGATTTGACGAGCTGTTCTCCCTAAATCTCGGCTCTGACCAAGAACTGAAAAAAGTATGCGATTGTCTTCTGATCCCTACCCCACGCCTAAAGCACCAGATCTGGGTGCTTTTGGATCCGCAGCTCTGGCCAAGTTGTGCAGAGGGGCCCAGGACACTGCCGTCACTAACTCGCAAAAAAACCTCGAAGAATATGTTCAACAAACGAGTCCCCTGATCCTGCAAGAAGCACGGCTAGACGAATCGAGGCTAGGTATGACTGGATCGCTCTTTGGTCTCCGAACCACAAAATCCCTAGGCCCTAGGATCACTAGTCTTTCAACTAACCAACTAGCCCCCGAGAAGTCTGCGGGCTGAGCCAGTGGCTGGAAAAAGCCACTCGAGCGGCATTGACCCACTCGAAGCCTCCTTTGCGAACGATCGATTTGGCCAGATCCCGACCCTTTGCCCAGAAAGTCATGCCAGCAGCTTTTTCTTCAGCATTAACCTTGGCTTTGAGCCGGCGAAGGAATGCGGAGGCGCGGGGGAGGTTGTAATTATTGCAATGGGATGCGTTGTGGATGAATTTGTGCTCAACTTGCATCTGCCTAGCTTTCATGTGCCTTCAGAGTGATAGTGATTCTTTTTGTGGATAATGCGTTGGCCTCTGGTTTCTTTTTTACTGTCCTCAACGGCGCTTTCAACCCTTTACTTTCTAAAGCTTCGCCGCCGCTTCAAGCTGGCACAGACCATCGTGAAGCGGCACCCGCACATCTCTCAACCGTTACAAGCCTCGGCCTCCGCTCCGGAACCAAAACCCGTGCATTCCGTGGATTTGCAAACTGTAGTCGAAAAACTCAGACAAAGAGAACGCATGAGAATGTCTGCCACCAATCTGTCAGCTACACGATATGAAGCTGAGACGCAGCTAAAGTGTACGCGGCTACATCTGCAATAGCATCGCAGTTGGCATAGGGCTCCACCAGCGGCGGGCCGCGCGATTCACCACCTGCCCTCAATTGCAGCCAGTGCTCGATTGCCTTGGACTGCTAGTGGCTGTGACTTCCGTGAACAAGGTCCAGGTACGGTTTTTTTGATTAAAATGTGTTGCAGCCATGTGGCAACGCTTGCCACCCCCAGGACCTCGGGCAGAATACTTCCCGCCACGACCATGAAGCTGGGCAGCGGGGGCTGGACGTGAACACCAATCCAGGCCCTCAGCGCCACATCTGCACCCGTATCCCCGAACCTTGGCTCTTGGCGGGTCTTTGATGGTCTTTGGGAAGCTATATTGAAAGAGTATATTGTCTTTACTCTTGGTGGCACTACTTACTACTTCGCTATGTCTTCTTCCTGGCATTCCCAACATCCAAGACACTTGGGAGATGCAGGCGTCTGATAAGCATCGCCTATCAAGGCCACGAGCTGCGCCAGAAACCGCACCAGGCCGCATCGGCTGTCCTGGCCTGCGAAAGAATGTCCAGCAAACTCTGCAAAATGCTGCCAAATACTGCAAGCACCCGAAAAAAAGCCCTCAAGGCACCTGCAAGCACATGAAAGCTCAAGATGCCCCATGCCCCAAGCTGGCCTTGGAGGACCTTGCGGATCTTCCTGCGCAACTCCGGCGCGAAGGGCACCTCACACTTACGGCCCTGTGCTGAGAGACTATACAGAGACTCATCCAATGCCAGCTCGTGCAGCTGGAGTGCGAGTCTCCCTTCTAATCTGCTCCCCGCTATCCGAAATACGCCGGCTTTGACGCCATCGTCCCTCAAGCTCTTTGAAAGCCCCACCTGCTCGGAAGAAACAGTCGACACTGCGGCTGTGACCAACTCGGCTGAAGCTTCCGCCTCTGGACGACAAAGATCCTTCACCTAGGGAGGGCGCCCACATCATCAAGCGACTTCAGCATTCTTTACTCTTTCGCTCTTCTGCTAACCCACCCTTCCTGCTAAGCAGCTCTAACCCAAGAACAAACTTTGGTGCCAGGCACTGCGTCCCACTCCTCGTGGGGTGCCCAAGCTGATATGACCGCCGCCGGCAGCCACAGAACACGCGCGAGTGCGACCATGTGCTCTACAGAGCAAGGGCATTCTTGCCACCTTGTGTTCCGACTTGCTGCAACTAGAGCAAAGGTTCCATCTGACTTGTGTGCAGCTTAACATGTGCGCCACCTCTGAAAAAGCGGCACTGCCATTTTGTCACAGGCTCTCCGGGCGATCGCGTCCCTCGTTGGAGGGTCGTCCTTTCTTGGTCTGCCTGTAAGGTCAGGAAGGATCCCGTAATCATGGTGGGCAGTACTATATCTTTCTGTCTCTGCGACCTTCTTCACCGCTACAGTACGGTCCTGATGATCAATTGGTTTACTCATTGTTCGGTAGATTCGGTAGGGGCGTCTTTGCTCGTTGGCGCTCCGTGAGTCGCCAGCGGAGTACACTGGCTTGATCTCAGCTCTGTCGGAGGACACCCCTATTCTTACCAGCCCCATTCTTACCAGTTACCAGCTGTGCAAAGCAAAGGTCATCTTGGCTGCTTGCTTCACGGTTCGAACTCCAGCAGAGCAGCACAGCAGCAAGCTATGAGCCACTTTGGGCAGCGTTAGCTGCCAGGCCCTGCAACATTTCTGCAAAGCGCAAGCAGCTTATGTGCCAGCTGACTCTCTTGGTGCCCGTCCTGTCCTCGACCCCAGGGAAAACATGATGTATGGACGTGGATGACGAGTTCTGCATGCATTGTCTAGCTTAAGTTTCTGCTCTGAGGTGGCCACAATGGAGATCCTGATGGTGATGATGGTACAACCCGTGGTCAAATCGACTCCTGCCCCATGAAGACCTCGTTCGCTTACTTTCCATTCTCCCTTGGGGGTTGGGGGGGGGGAGACCCATAGACTGGGATTGTCTATATGCTCAGGGCATTGAAGAAACTCATCTTGGTCCACCTGGCCCTGATGCCTCAAACCAGAAAGCACCTTGTAGCCCAAGGACAAAGGTACCATCATGTTTGATTTGGCTTTTTTGTAGAGGCTGCAGTAGGACCCTTGTCGTGACAGCAGCTGGAAGAGCTGGAAGGCTCACTGAACGACGCAGCATCCAGATTTCTTGGCCTCCCATGGCTGAGGCGTGGATCTGTGAGAGCAACAAGAAGCGTAACTAGAGCAAACTCATGGGACTTCAAGCTTACAAGCTACAAGTTGCTAACGGAAGCAGATGATCGACCTTGAACAAGTAGGCTGGCAAGCGTCAGACAACCAACTCGGTGGTAAGAATTTGGGCACACGAAGACTGCAAGGAGGTTCATAAAGACACGCAAGTGGCACGCTCTCTTCAGACATGCTGTCGGGCGGGGAAGCAGCTGCTCTTTTCGACGCACAAGGCTAAAACACCTTAAATCCCATGACCTCCAACCCCACATGCATCTAAACTCCTGCACTGCCCTGCCTTGTTGAGTTCCTGCTGCATCTCATCGCGCTCCTTCGCGTGCTTCTGCTCTGCCTCATCGGATCGCGAGGCGTGTTTGGTTGTTGACAGGTTGGCTCGAACCTGACAACCCTAAATCCACTAAGCAATTGGCCTCCGACAACTCTGAGCTCAGTGAGAGGCTTTCCACGTCGTTCAATTTTTGCTCAGGCCGTGTATTTAGATGTTCCAACACGAAGTAGATTCCGAGAAACTTACCGCGCCACCTTTGCAATTGGAGGCACAGTGCTTTATGAAAAGGCTTTGACAATCCCGTGACCTCCAACCCCAACAGCATCTTGCTCCTGCACGCTGAACTGCCTTGCAGATTTCCCTGCCTCATCGCGCTCCTTCGAGTGCTTCTGCTCTGCCTTAAATCGGGTCGTGCGGCGCTTCGCGAGATGACCATTTCGTAAGATCTCGAATCCGAAGGCTCCCGATTGCCCTACACTTCGCATCTCAAACGCATGAATGGGGATGCATTCAGAACTCCCATGCCTCCACGCAGAGCCTACTTTGCTTTGCATTCTCTCCGGGAGGTGCCAACAAAAGCCGGGGTGCCACGGCCATCTCGTCCTGTGTGTTAAGTCAGCTCGTTTGGCGGGGGGACTTGCTCTCCTGGTGTTTGTTTGTGTCTCCAAACACTCACACGCTGCCCAATATTCGTGTTCAGATGTACATTCAAGATTGGACGTTTGCTACTGTGGCCCTTGTTGTTTCTGTTGTAGAACAACCGATGTAAAGCACGCCGTTCTTGAACAAGTACAGCCCAAGCCCGAAGAATCGCTTGAGGCCCTCAGGCCTGAATTTATGCCTTGAATAAACCTTAAGCTGACCCGCTCCTGAAGCGCCTTGTTCTTTGCTTCCAGCTTCTCGACCTGCTCAAGGCGTCAACGCGAAAACAGGATCAGAAGGGACATCCATGTCGCGGTTGAACTCCCTCAAACGATTCTACGTGCGAAGAAACTGCGCGGGCCAGCGGCTGGTGAAAAACCCTTGAGATCCTGGTTTCAGAAGTGAGCGTTGCCCTGCCGAAAGCACCAACATTTCTCACCAACATCGGCTAAGAGAGCCCCATGTTGACTACGTCAGGGAACGAAATCCTTGTCAGCTGAAAAACGTGCTTTGGCAGTGGCCCCGGCAGGTTTCGCGTGAAAATCTTGATGATGAGATAAACTGGAGACCTTCTTTCTGCTTCAGCATGGCATTAGCAGTTCGACTCGGAAGACCGACCCTAGGATGAAGTTCTGCTCCCGCCTCCGCCTTGAAGGTCTTGGCTTTCTCCTCATCCTTCGTGGCCTGAGACCCCCCCTCCCCACATGCCCCAGGCCTAAATATCAGAGGTTTGGGAAAACTCGAGCCTTGGTATGCTCCAAGGCTTGCATGAGAAGGTTCACCACTTAAGCTCATGAATCTGCTACTTCAGTCCCCATTGAAAGCACCGCGCATGACAGCACGTTTTGGCTAGCCTCCTCTGCTTTGGGCAGCCGAAGTATGAAAGCGGGGGTGGAGTGCCCATGGCTAGCCCGTGGCTTTTAGCCAGGAGCATAGCTCGTAGCCTGCCAGGCTCCCCCGGGGAAATGCAGGCCTGCTGCAGCACTCCATGCATGCAGCAGGCTAGGGGAGGCGCCCCTCACCGCCACAATGAATTTACAGCAAGATCTTCTTAAAATGGAAACCAAAACTGAGGATAGTGGCGCTTTTCAACGAGGTTGTTGGTGACGCAGCCGATGAGCACAAGAATGACGGTGCCCAGGAGCGCTGGTGTGACAACATACGTCCAGGCATACTTGTGGAGGAGCGGGACGATGACGAACAGGAGGGCTGTGGCACCTATACTCCCCTTAGAACCTTTTATAAAAACACTTAAACAAATTAGTTTTTTTTATATCCTCTTGGGTTTTATAGAAACAAAATAAACAAACTGATTCCCAAGGGGGATATAGGCACCACCTGGTGGATGCACGGTGTTTGTCAACTCTTGAAGCACGATGGTCAAGGAGACGGAGAGGGCCGCCCCGACCCAAACATAATCCTGGATTCCAGCGAGTAGAAAGAGGTTGTAGACGGCAACGCCCACAAAGCCTCCCAGGGTGTTGCCGATGATTGCGTTCTTGGGCTGAGCAAAAGGCACCTTCCAGGCTGAGAAGATGATGACAGACATGGCACCGAAGGCACCGATCATCAGCATCTCGTGCATCTTCGGGATGATCAGGTATTGTTGAAGAAGCCCCAGAGAGGCGATGGCTAGGAAAGAGCCGAGGAAGCTGCACCAGGTCTGGCTGGTAGGTGGCGACGCAGCTGGCAAGGGTGCGGCGCCGGCTCCCAAGAATTTCCTGCAGTACTGGCCTAGCCAGGTTTCGGGCTCGTCAGGCTCGTCGCTGTCCTCTGCCTCGGAAGCTTCAGATGGCCACCAGTACTGCGGATAGACACGGTCTTCAGCCAGGTTGTTTGTTATGCAGCCAACGGCCACCATGATCACTGCGCCCAGGAAGGAGGGGCAAAAGACAAACCAGTAACCCATGTGTTGGACGGGAGGTGTGATGATATAAATCAGAGCCGTCGCACCTCCTGGCGGATGGACTGTCTTTGTGAGCTCCTGAGCTACAATGGTCAGAGACACCGCAAAAGCGGCACTCAGCCACACCATCTTCCCAAGCCCCAGCTCTTGCATCAGGTTGAACACGACGACACCCACCAAGCCCCCAATGGTGTTGCCGATGATCACGTTCTTTGGCTGTGCCACAGGCGTTTTATATCCGCTAAACACAATCACGGACATCGCCCCGAAGGAACCGACGAGGAGGACCATGCTGGCATCAGGCATCATGACGTAGGTGTGGAGCAGGCCGATGGCACCCATCCTATCGGCTCTACAGGCTCTAGGACTCTCTAGGACTGTCTATGCCTGTAATTATGCCCTACCCACGGCGCTCCCCACTATTCTCTACTAAGCCCAAGAAGGGGATGCTGCTCATCTGCCATGCGTCCCTGCAAAGGCGCCCAAAAAGCTGAAGGCGCTGTAGCTGAGGGGCAGTTGCGGTGGCGGCTTCTCCCCAGCACCCAGCATTTTCTTGAAGTAGGTCGGTGCCGGCGCGGCAGGAGGGGCCTCCTTGAGAGGCTCGCCACCTTCCAAAGCCAACTCGTTTACCGGCTTCATCTCCTTTCATTCGTCCACAGCAATCCGGGAATGTGTGCTAACCAAAGATTCACTTCAACCTCCTCCCCTCGTCCTTGAAACCAACTCCGAAAACAATCCTGCCTTGAAGGGAAAACTTGACAGTGGAACCTGCAATCCCAAGTGAAAAAAAAAGGCTTTTGATGGTCTGCTCAGACCGTCTCCTGGTAGGTGTTTTTCTCTGCCATAGCTCGGAGTCGGCCCTGAACAGCGCCCACTGAAATGAGAAGCAAAAATGCTTGAGCCACACGTGTGCCATCCGGGGCTCTCCAGGTTCTTAGGTGCACCATGTGCACCTCATGCCACTCGGACAATCCCGTTCTCTCTTCTCTCTCCTGCAAGATGCATATCCCCAGGAGAAACTTCACAAGATGCTCATGCGAATCTTATCTTCCTTTCTCGCGGGCAGCCTCCACGAAGGAATGTGGGAGTCATGCTAGCAGGGAAGTGATGATGTCGAGAAGCTGCACCGTGTCTCTGGCGCGCATCCTCTACACTAGGCTGGCTCTGTGTTCCCAGCTAGCTGACAACTTACTTCCTCATTGCAGGATCCCAACCCAAAAGGCCCTGAGCCAGGCCCCGGGCCACCTCAGCCTGGAGGGCACTTTGCCAGGCACGGAGGACAACGAGGCAGGAGCACTGGACCTGCCAAGATCACGTCAACAAGGCCTGCATTGTGTGGCGAGAACGCAGAACACGAACCGTTGGGCAAACGCAGGGGTGTTTAGGCCTAGGTACACGTTTGATTTGATTTGGTGAAACTCCTTAAGCCACGAGGCCCTGGACATGGTTCCCTTCCCAGAGACCCCCAGTCTCTTCGCATCCCCACATTCGATGCCTCTCAACATAAAGGCTGCCCAATGAGTCACCCTTTTCCACTTAGAACCCTTCAGCCTGCCTTGAAAAAACTCGATGGAAGAGCATGAAGAGTTTGGGGGACTCCATCTGCACATCCCAAAAACCTCGTAACCTCGCCCTCGAGGAGCCGCTCAACCCTTGGTTACAAATACTGAAGGGGTGGAGACGGTTTAGCCTCTGCATGCGCATGCATGTGTGTGTGAGAGGGCGCTTCCTTTACTTCGCATGCTACAGCAGTCCGCCCTTTATCACTTGCTTTAATCGTGCTCATGACTTGGGGGTCAAACATGAAAAAAGAATTGGTGACATCGAAATAGCTTTCCTCAAGATCGTAGAGACCCAGGCCTGGAGCTCGCCAAGCTTTCGAAGCGCAACTTCTTGACACCTTGCCTGGTGGGAAGCTGAGTTTTTGGTGACTTTCGGGAGACCTTTGTGCCCATGACCCGTTCTCTAGGTTTCATTGAGACTGCACCAGGATTGAAAAAGACATGTAGAGTGGAGGGAAGAGCCCTTTAAGTGCCATGGTGTCATTGCAACCCGGCAGTCACACCATGGAGCCCTGTAAGGCGGCTTGAAGCGACCCAATCTCTGCAGTCGAAGTGCTAGCTTCGGCACGTAGCTGACCACAGCAGCAGATGGCCTCTGGGTCAGCAGCAGGACATCTTTTCCTGTTGGTTGAAAAGATTCTTGGGGAACAAGCGGCCAGGGACCAGGAATGCCTCTCTTGGCCTCCATCTTTTGAAGCAACACCTCAACACAGCAACATCTAAGAGACCGGCCGTAGCTTCAGCCGCCTGGGCTCAGGGCCATGTGGTTATTCTTGGGGTTCAGGATTTTTTGCCACCCGCCTAGCAGACCCCTTCTGGGATAGTCGAGGTTATCGTGTCACACTTCGCAAAAGGACCCCGATCCACCCCTGCCTGGGCGTAGCCAACGGTAAGATCAACAAACAAGAACCCTACAAAACCGGAAGCCAATGGCAAGGGGTCGTATCCAGGTCAAAGTTGGGGGCTTCACTTGCCAGTCCGGTTCAAGGTTTAGGGTTTAGGGTTCCGCCTAGCTGAACTGAAGTCCAATTTATTGGGCACATGGCATATTCGGATTTGGAACTCAATCGATGCCTGGACTGGTTTTTTCTTGCCACCGGACTACCGCAGAGAGATATCACTGAGCAGTGTGCCCAAGCTGAGGCCGGGCCATGAGATACGGATGCTGAGTATGGAATTTTATGGATGAGCTTACTGTATACACTGTGAAAACCCTTAACCCTTGTGGTTGAAGCGCAAGCAAAGGTTCAGCCGAGCGTCCACAGAATGAAGCAAAGCATGGTGACAAGCCACGTGTTCTGATACTCCTGCCTGGCGCTTGTCTGCTTGAGGTCCATGCTCAGGCAGAATGCGCATTTGGTGCACTGCAACTCATGCGATGAAGAACTGCTTTGTGACATGTGAACGTACAGCTTCTTGAGCACACAGCGAATACAACTGCAACCCGCTGACTGTGCTGCCTACCGTACGGTACTCCGCTGACATGTGTGGTCCTACTTAACTCCAAATGAGACTCAGCATGTGGAACCGCTTAAACACTAGAAATGGGCCGAGGAACTTCTCCACCTTGACCTGCGTCTTCTGGCAAGCCTGAAACGCAACGAGTCTCAAACAACTTTGCAACAGCCCCCTTATTAATATTCGAAATTTGACCCAACTTACGATTCTAAGCTATCTGGAACCCATGGTCTAAGAATGTCTGCTGCAGACCTGGGGTCTTAATTGGTTGTGTCGACAATCTGAAATCGTGGAAGTGCATGGGTATTTGCGACGGGCTGAGCCACTGGTAGATTTTCAACAAGGTCCTATGAAGTGACCCATCAGAAAGGACGGATGTGCGTCTCCCTAGATGCGGGCGTTCGCGTGTTTCGGAGCCTTCTGCAGGTTTTTGAGATTAAGAGTCCCCTCTCCAGATCATTTCACTGGGTGGTGTGACGAGCATCTGAAAGCGGACTCCAAGAAGGCTGTTTGTAGAATGGTCTGATGCATAAGAAATTGCAGTGACCATTGTAGTGGTTTGGAGGTTTCGTAAGCGGACACAGTCATCATCTTCTTCGTTCTGCCAGCAACGAGGGCCACTTCCAGAAGGCCCATCCTAAAGACTGCTAAGCCTAGTCCTGCGGGCACGAGTCAACTGAGAGCAAGACTTGTTGTAGCGGGAGAGCAACCACTTCCCCGCAGAAAATTGTGGGGCGAAGGTAGTGTAGAGTTCGGGGTTCACATGGCTCGCCGTTCCCAGCATGAAGGGCCTCTGCTCGAAGAATCACCAGACGCCACGCGCGCAAAAGGGGCAGAAGGTCCTTAGACGAGACATGAAGTGCCATTCTAGACATGTACAATACTTATCGGGCACCGCATCCATTAAAGCTTCCCTATCCAGGAATGCCTGCTGACAGAACAAACCTTGAGCGCTAGCAAAGCCAACTGGTTCTCAGGCACCCCAAACCCTAAACCCTAACTGAGATTAGGGAAGGAAATTTGATAGTAATTTGGCTATGTGTGTGGTGTCCTCTGTAGGAGCTGCGGTGAGCAACCTGTCGATTCTCAAGCCAGGCGCCAACCTCTCTACCCCACTACTGCCACTTGCAAAGCCGTGACATGTTGACTCTTCGGCCAGGCTTCCTCGGTTGGGCGGAAGAATTTGACCCAGCCTGGCTCTCTTCTTGCGATTTTGGTGGGCGAAACCCGGGCTGAGGCCGTTGGGCTTGGGCTCCCAAATGCTTATTCGAACATCACGACTTGCATCGCCTGTTTTCTGAAGATGCAGACCCTTTCGGGATGTGAAGTCAATGTGGCCTCTCTGGAATCTCCGCTTTTGGACGATCTTCTTCCACATGCCGAATGCCAATCCGCGCCTGCGCAAGTGGCGCTGTCAGTGGCGCATGAGGCTTGCAAGTGGCAATCAAGCGGGCTGGCTCCGCGATGCCAATACTGGAACACATTACAATTTGACTCCATACATTCCAAGCCAAACCAGGAGCCCTAGTCGCTACAGTACAGGCACGGGAATTTGGCCTGAACTCAAGAAAACGCCCCCCCCCCCCCCCCCCCCGGAACAAAAAACACACATGCTTCAAGCACCAGCTGTGAGTTAAACACGCCCTGCAGAAGGAGAAAAAGATAGAAAGGCAAAACAGGTCACCAGCAGGTTGCTTCAAAAGCTGTTCGTGGCTCCAGGATTGCTTCAGGACATGATCCCGTCTCCAGCATCAAGGCCCTAAATTTAAAAACTTCTGGTAGGCCCAGAACCCTTCAATGCAGGCGGACCGCGAGGCGAAAGTGAAGGCAGAGATGCAGTAGGCAATCGCTTGACGCTTTGCCGGGTCTTCGTTGCGCCGGAGAGTCTGGAGGAAGCAGTATCCTTGGGACCAAGAACCCGGCACGTGTCCGGGACAAGTCCAGCAGCCGTTGCATTAGGATTGGACTGCAGGGCTTCGGGATCTGAGGGTTTTGAGGGTTTCTGAGATCACCTCTCTTGGGGCAACAGGATCCCTGGCTCTCTGCTGGTGATGTGCTCGCTGATCTGGAAAGTCCCGGTGCACGCAATCTAGGCAAGCTCGAAGGGTAGCTCCTAGTCATCTCGGCTGCATGTCAAACAGAAAGTCGACCGGACGCCACATCCACTTGCCGGGATGCTGCTATGCCCACACGCACCACCAACACAGTGTTCCGACCGATATGGTACATTAGGGGCATGTACTTGGGGCCTCAGGAAAATGCCGGACTGGCCAGCCAAGTAAGTATACACCGAAGCCTTGAGCAACAGATCCTTCTGTACCTCATTCTGCGACCTTCCTGCCGAAGTCGCACCTCGTGTCGAGCGCAGCATGCAAAACAAGACAAGGGGCTGTGCCAACCCAGCAGCACACTTTGCAGCATCAACACAGGCTGGTCGTTGGCGAAGTGCGTCATGGCAGAGATGATCTGCCAACCAGTTCAGGGCATTTCGTTACATTCCCTTCCAGGCGCCCTCCACCATTCAGGGGGATCTAAGCCTCCCACGAAAGCAGAAGCCTCCTTTAGGAACTCTCGACGCAAAGGAAAGCAGACGAATGCTGAACGCACTCAGATCTCCAACATCCTGGCCTCTCCTGGGGTGCCCGAAGCTTTCAGCTTGGCAATCAGGATCCTGGCTTTCAGGCCTCCCATGTGATTGTGGCAGTCAGGATCTGAAAAAAAGGCGACGTGACATTGAGGTTCGCGGAACTTGGAGCGCTCAAGGCATGAGAGGAGCCTCTCCCCGCTGCCCACACGTCCCTTGGAGGACCGAACCCCAAACCAGA